AAGAGTGAAAAACAATGAAGAAAGAAAGAGTTTTGCGTGTAATAATCACTAACGGGTATTGAGTCTACCGGATATTTTTTTGTGTTTATGGAGAAACTTTATTTAGAATTCCAAATTCGAGCTGGCCTGATTTATCTGCTCTGTCGCGATTGTGGACATATTGTCGATATGATATGGTCAATTACATAACTCAGAAATGAATTTAAACACACAGAAAGGAAATTCCCCGTGCCCCTAAATTACCCATACCCCTAAAGAAGGGCAGCGATTACAAGCGAAAATAAAACGACTAAAGTTTAACTGTAAAAAGATGGAATGCAGGGTTGCTAGCGAAAGGAAGAGGCCAAAAATTGGAGATACCAAAAAGAGCAGAAACTGAAATATCTGGGAAGTGTTTAAACCGAGGACGGAAAATGCGTCACCGAAATCCGAAGGCACATTGGGATAACGAAATATACCTTCCAAAAGCTAAGTAAAGTATAAAGAAACAAGAAATTTTCATTAGAAACAAAGAAATGAATAGGAAACATTTATCCAATATCGGACCTGTATGGCGTTGAATGCTGGACCATCACATCTCAGATGGAAAAGAGACAACAGAAATGTGGTTCTGCAGAAGTATGCTGAGAATGGTACTCGTCGAACATTTTATAAAAAATGGAAACAAAAAGGACATTTATAATTGTTGAAACTTGACTAATGCATGGAATAATAATGCAACACAAAAGGTTCTTAGAACAAAATGTATTGAAACAAGAAAGTATACACAATATTTACATATAGTCTTTTGTATATTCCTGGTAAGACCGTTCCTGGAGAATGTGTTGACTGAGTCGCAGTCGGGCAGAGTCTCTGGTTGAATCTCTTGATTCCTTCCTCTCTTCCCGGTACCAACCATATTTATATGGTCGGTACTCCACTGTGCAAATTAGGTGGATCCTACCACAACAATAATTATTATTTAGAAATATAGAGTTGTCATATCTAGGATATATATAACGAGGAAAGCTTCTTTACATGTTTGGCTGGTTTGGTTTGGTTTGGTTTGGTTTGATTTATTTTACAGCATATCAACCTCAATGAGTTATTTATTACCGACAAGATTTTTATTGCTAGTAATATTTTTCCAAAAATATATTGCCGATAATATTTTTCCTTTTTAACCCCATTTTGAGCATTAACTATTTTCCTAGAGCGGGGACCCTAACAGGTGCTACAACCCCGGATCAGGTTGAACTCTGGAACACCAGTAATTAAGAGGTGGTTCCACCCTCCTCAAAACCTCCTGATCAAAGAGCTTGATGTCGGACGTAGTTTATCGTCTTACCCAGGACGCGGATGTCGTTTATCGCCTTACCCAGGACGCGGATGTAGTCCATCGTCTTTCCCAGGATGCGGATGTAGTTTATTGTCATACCTAGGGTAGCATGTTTGGTAGAGCAGGGATTAGGTATTATACAGGCAAAAAAGACAAAATTAATGGCTATACATGACATGACACTGTGGAGAGCCAAGATCAGCCACGTCCTGAAGCGACGAGGCATATAGAAGAAAAATCGTTAAAACTTGAATGAAAGCTTGTTAAGGAAAAGAAAAATTAAATATCAATAAACTGTAAGAAGGTATATTAATATGTCTGCTATCAACACGTTTTCATACAAATATTTATTTTTTTTAAGACTGTGGTAGCCAATAATAAATCTTCGTTTGATTTCTAATTCCCTCAAGATTGCTTCACAGTAAAAAATGAATAAATCCGAAAAGAAAACACACCTTAAAACTTTCTATTTTTGTATATTTACAGAATTTATTTAATATCCGTACTAGCAGCATGGCCCGGCGTTGCCCGTGCTTGATTCAAAAATCGTACGATTCATACAGCAATCGCTATCACTTGACTTAAAATATTTTTGCCTTTCCTTGCCTTTAAAGGAGTGCGATTTGCCGTGCTGATGTTGCTACACGCCTTACTTCTTGCCTATCTCACACTGCGAATTTTTTCTAAGCTCTATACTAAACATTAAACTTGTTACGAAAAAAGAACTAAACAAAATGAACACAAGATGATCAGCTTTAAAAAAGGACTCGTAACTGGAAAAACTGAATGAACAAAGATTGTTAAAACAAATTCTTTTTTACACCAACCCAGTTCTGCGGAATCAGAATCAATGTTGAGTTTAAACAAGAGAATGAGCCAATTGGAGTAAAGTGCCATGCAGATTTAAATTTTTCCCACTTGTGACGAATGCAGTTACTTAACATTCGTGTCAGTCAGCTGTTGGCTCTCACGCTAGCCAATAGAATCTTCCTGCCTAGTCGTGGCAGGAAGCTATAGGATCTCACTCTGGCCGGTAGAAAATGGACTCAAAACTACATGAAAACTGCCGTAGAAGCATGAAAAAATCGATTATTTCCACTATTATTTGGGAGTTGGGAAACGCAAAATCGGTCTTGGCCTTCCCGCTAACTTGAAGCATGTGCATGTAAATTTTGGTGCAAATCCGTCGAAAATTGCGGCCGTGCATTCGTTACACACACACACACACAGACATCCTACCTTTTATAGATAGAGATGTAGGCAGTTTTCTGCTTTGTATAAGCTCTGGATTATTCTAATATCCTTCCTAAATATATCATGGTTACCTGTCAATTCTGGTGAGTTTTGTTTAAGTTTAACGGACGGATAATTGCACTACTGTCAAATATCCATTACTATATTCTAACAATGGCTTCTTACTATAGAAAGCATTTCTTGGTGGAATGTACTGTATAAGCTTTTATTGCTCGAATACATTCACAATGATCTTTCTATAGAAATGTGTTGCGAATGCCTCGTCTAAAGAATTGCGTTTAAATTGTTTTACGAGATATGCATTGTAAATGATTTTATTTGAGAAATTCGATACAAATGATTTTACTATAGAACTGCATTGGAAGTAATTTTAGAGTACATTTTCTTTGTTGATATTCCCTATAAGAATGTTTCTGTGATTATTTTAATGTAGAAATGCGTGATAAAGGAAAGATTTTAATATAGAAATGCATATCTGAAAGCATGCATTATGAAAAGGGATGCTTTGAAAATGATTTTACAATGGGAATACATCGATAATGATATTATTATAGCGATGGATTGCTAATGATTTTAGTATAGGAATGCGATGTGTATTGTTCAAATATTATTTCTAAATAAACCAAGCTTAGTAGTTCAAATAGTTCTTTGTGATTTACCTTTGTGAACGTTTTGGCATAATCTGCAAAACATAGATATACATATTTTCCAGTTGTATTGCAATTCTAATTTGAAAATTAAGTTTTGAGTATAAGGTAATATTTTAATTGTATTTTTTTACTTTGCCTTTGTCCGTATAGGATCACTAACTTGAAAATAATTCCTTTCACCATATTTAATGTAGAATTATATTATCATTAGAACATTTGCTTACTACGTTGCCGGTCTGCTAATGTCATACCGCCCTTAAAATTCGTGAAGATGATATACCAAATATGTCTGCTGATCAAATAATTAGTTTAAAAAACATTTGTAGAAAAAGCAAAGTCAAGCTACAGCGGGAATGTGACTGAAGCCAAAATGGTACTTCAGATTCTTCTTTAGATTTGGACAAATAGCAGAAGCAGCAGAGCAGTAAGCCAGCAATATCTGATGCGTCGCAGACTTATAAGTGTTCAAGACAAATTCTATCGAGAAAAAAATCATATCGCACATATTGAACCAACTTTCCTTGTAATCGACTCAGTAATTGATTCAGTGTAATATTTGCTCTCCATTTATGTGGAAAGCGTGAAAACAAGAACTTGCAGCGATTTGCTGGAGGTTAGAATCAGACATACTTACGGAAGGTGAAAAGATTATTTATAATGATTAATAAAAAAAAAACAATTTCGTTTAAGAGGCGTTAAAATTGACAAGTTACGTCTTGACGTCGTTCACAACAGATCTTCGTTCGAGATCAGCTGCTAATTTGATTTCATCAAATCTATTAGAGTAACAATTAAGACAAGAATAAACAGATGAGAAAATAACGAAGTTTAGCACTAGTTTTATGGATGGCCATTTAAGAATAGGACTGACTGTAAACAGAATTTCCCTTTGACAGATTAGGTAAGCTTTTAGTCAAAACATAGTTTATTTTCTAAATACTTATTTGAGTATATTTTCCTGGTAATCTATTAAGGTCGTTCTACATAATTATGAAAGAGGGTTTGGAATATTTGAGGCTCACGAAGCAGATTGAAGGCAGGAAGGAATCAACACATAGGCGAACTTGTGCAAATGGCTAATAGAAAAATTGATTAAGAGCTACAAAGGTCAAAGTTATGATCGCCAACGTCTTGATGGGACGTATGAGATAAAGTAGCAGCAGCAGCAGAAGAAGAAGAAGAAGAAGAAGAAGAAGAAGAAGAAGAAGAAGAAGAAGAATTTTCTATCTAGAAGTTCCCTTTGACAGATTAGGTAAGCTTTTAATCAAAACGTAGTTACTTTTCTAAATACTTATTTGCGTATCTTCTGTTAATCTGTTACTGCAGTTCTACATAATTATGAAAGAGGGTTTGGAAAATTTGATGCACACAAGGCAGATTGACGGCAAGAGGGAAACATCGCATAGGCTAACGAACGCATTTGTGTAAATCGATGGCAGAACAGGGTTTAGAAGAGAAAATAAAAATGCAAAATTGATTAAGAGATACAAAGGAGAGGAAATTGTGAAAAGTTCTGATCGCCAACGTCCTGAAGGGACGTATCAGATAAAGAAGAAGAAGAAAGAAAGAAAGAAAGAAAGAATGATGTGAAGAAAGAAATGGAAAAAAGATAATAATCAATGCAATTAAATTGGAAGAAAAAGAAAGTTGAAGACAAAAGGAAATAAAGAAAGAAATAGAAAAGAAGGAAAGGAAAAAATAAAGACAGAATATAGAATGTATAGGAAGAAAAACAAATGCGAAGATAAAAGGAAAAATAACAAAAGGAAAAGTTAAACGAGAAGAAGAGAAACAGTTATGATGGACAGAAGTTTAAATAACAGAGGACTAAAAGTACGAAAAAAATAAAGAAAATAAGAAAAGGAAGAAAAGAAAGAGAAAAGAAGAAGAGAAACAGGAAAAGAAGAAGAAAAGAAAGAAAAAGAAGAAATTAAATCAAGAAATGATGAAACAACTTAATTTCTGTTCTAAATGTTTTCTGGAGTATCATCTCCTTTTAATCGAAGATGCGGTTCTACATAACAAGTATTTGAAAAATGGCCACAGGGTAGATTGAAAGCAAGAGGAAAACAACGCATAGGGCAACTAGCGAACTTGTGTAAATGAATGGCAGTAAAAAGGGTTTAGAAGAAATAATAAAAATGCAAGATACATTAAGAGCTACAAAGGACAGAATTATGATCGCCAACGTCCTGAACGGACGCAGAAGCTAAAAGAAGAAGAAGAAGAAGAAGAAAAAAAAAAAAAAGACGAAGCTAAGTAAATTTAAAAAGAAAAACAAGAGAAGATAAACGGGAAGTGGGAGAGAAGCAGAATAGAAAAATGGAGAAAAAAAAAAAAAAAAAAAAAAATACGAAACAGAAGAAGAAAATCAGCAGGTAAAGTAGCAACTAGAAAAATAGCAGAAGGAAAATAGCAGAAGAAGGAAAACATACAGAAGAAGAAAGAAAGAAAAAAGATGAAGAGGAGAAATAGTAAATGAAAAAAGAAGTAGAAAAGAAAGAAAGAAAGTAAATTTAAGGTAGAAGATTAAATAAATAAGGTAGAAGATTAAAAGAAAGAGAAAGAAGAAGAAAAGAAAGAAAACCAAGAAATGATGAAAAAACTAATAAAAATATTAGGAAGTAAAGAAGGAATTAGAAGAAGAAGAAGAAGAAGAAGAAGGAAGAGGAGGAGGAGAAGAAGCAGAAGAAGAAGAAGGAGGCGGAGAAGGAGAAGAAGAAGAAGACTAAGAAGAAGAAGAAGACTAATAATAAGAAGAAGAAGAAGAAGAAGGAAGAGGAGGAGGAGAAGAAGAAGAAGAAGAAGAAGAAGAAGAAGAAGGAGGCGGAGAAGGAGAAGAAGAAGAAGAAGGAAGAAGGAGAAGGAAGAAGAAGAAGAAGAAGAAGGAAGAGGAAGAAGAAGAAGAAGACTAATAAGAAGAAGAAGAAGAAGAAGAAGTAAGAAGAGGAGGATGAGAAGAAAGAAGAAGAAGAAGAAGAAGAAGAAGAAGAAGAAGAAGAAGAAGAAGAAGAAGAAGAAGAAGGAAGAAGAAAGAAGAAGAAGAAGAAGAAGAAGAAGGAGGCGGAGAAGAACAAGAAGAAGAAGAAGGAGGAGGAGAAGAAGAAGAAGAAGAAGAAGAAGAAGAAGAAGAAGAAGAAGAAGAAGAAGAAGAAAAGAGTGTTCTATTTAGAATTGCCCTTTGACAGATTAGGAAAGCTTTAAATCAAAACATAGTTACTTTTCTAAATACTTCTTTGAGTATTTTCTCTTGTTAATCTGTTAATGCGGTTCTACATAATGATGAAAGAGGGTTTGGAAAATTTGATGCACACAGGGCAGATTGACGGCAAGAGTGAAATAACACATAGGCTAACTAGTGCACTAGTGTAATTGGAGGGTAGAAAAGGGTTTAGAAGAGAAAAGGAAAATACAAAACTGATTGAGCTCTACTGAAGGACAGAAAATTATGAAGAGTCATGATCGCTAAAGCCCTGAAGGGACAAGGGAGACAAAGGAGAAGAAGAAGAAGAAGAAGAAGAAGAAGAAGAAGAAGAAGAATGTTCTATCGGTTTTCATCCTGATTTTCTCCATTTTTATCCAAACTTCGTCTACAATTTTAGCCATCAGAATTTTTACATCAGTGGCTGACCAATGAATAATATCAGTGGCTACAAACAATATTGCCTTGTGACATATCCAAAACTTAGTTGGGCACCTCGAGGTGGTGTAATGGTTAGCTAGTTTTTCTGGCTAGAACAATTACAACTGAGTAATGAGTTCGATCCTCACTGGGTGCCCCATACTTTCCGCCTTGTGCCACATCTAAGCTACGCTTGGAAATTCGCTATCCAAAACTTAGTTTCTATTCTATATACTTTTTTTTTATATAAATTCTACTTTTAATCGAAGATTTGGTTCTACTTAATGAGGAAAGAAAACTTGGCAAATCTGATACACACAGGACGGATTGAAGGCAAGAGGGACAGAAAAACGACGTATTACCTACATCGCAATATTGTATAGTGATTGTCCAATCGTAGCTTAGTACAAGGCCGAAATAAGGGGCACCCAGTGAGGATCGAACTCACTACTCAGTCGTAATTGTCTCAAGGAGACAACCTTGCTAACTATTACCCCGACTCAATGTGCCTTCTTTCAATCTTGTGTAAATGGTTGGCAGAATATGGTTTCGGATTTATAGTTTAATAGTATATTACGATAAACCACTCACCAAAAGCCAGTTTTTTACATACCTTTACCTATATACGTGAATGCGTTTTTATATGGAGCATTTTGTACATGTTAATTAGTTTTTTAATCATGTTGTTTTGATATGACAATAATTTTATATATTTTTAATCTACTCAAATACATTTTTGTTCAATAATAGTTAATAAATAAAACGGGGCTTTACCTTTGCTGCTACCCTGTAAATATATATATATATATATATATATATGTGTATATGTGTATATGTGTGTGTGTGTGTGTGTGTGTGTGTGTATACGTGTGCGTGTATATAATCACATGCCTACAACGTTACCGTGAAACACTCACCATTAGCCAGATTTATGAAGTTTCAGCTTTTCACACACCCTTACATAAATGTTATATATATATATATATATATATATATATATATATATATATATATATATATATATATGTATATATATATATGTGTGTGTGTGTGTGTGTGTGTGTGTGTGTGTGTGTGTGTGTGTGTGTGTGTGTGCTGCATAGAGGCAGGCTCACAGGAGGCCACAGTCGACTCCCATGTAGGACACTTGAACAAAGAGGAAATTCCTTTCGTCCATCGACAACAACTTGAGGCTGCGATGTTCGTCAAAATAAGATGGCTGATTAGCAGTATTCATACAAGATTAATATCCGCTGCAATGATCTTTGGTCCCTGCATCGCGACCCGGACAACAGTTCGCAGGTCACGTGGCGCCGGCAACGGGAATAGGCGAGATAACGCGAGATATGAACGAAGAGTTTCACAATAAATGCTTTCGCTGGCGAAGCTGCTTAGAACGATGTCGGTTAGAAAGTGAAATATTTGAAATGTCGGCCGAGTTGGGGGGCGGATTTGACGTAGGAGTGAAAAGAACGATTCACAGGTTATGGATAAAAAAAAAAATGAAAAGAAACAGAAGCAATGTATGAGGCGAGATTGGGTGAGTGTAATTAAATGGAACCAGAAGACAAGTTGTTTGGGTGAAATTATGGGATGGACAATTTTGTAGAGGAACTTAGGAGAAAAAAGTACAGAAAATAAAGACAACTACCAACAGAAATTTCTTCATCTACTTTTATTTGTCATATCTCTTGAGATCATGGCTCTCCACAACAGCCTATCCTTTGTAGCACTTAATCAAGTTTACATTTTTACTATAACTCCGAAACCATATTCTGCCATCCATTTATACAAGACTACGAGGAGGCACCTTGAGGCGGGGTAATAGTTAGCAAGCTTGCCTCCTTGGAACAATTACGAGTGAGTTCGATCCTCACTGGGCGCCCCTTACTTTCGGCCTTGTGACATATCTAAGCTACGCTTGTAAAATTCTGATGGCTGAAATTGGAGAGGAGGTTTGAGGAAAAATGGAGAAAATCAGGATAAAAAGCGACAGAATATTCTTCTTCATTTCTTCTTCCTTATTTCCTGTGTCCCTTCAAGACGTTGGCGTTCATAACTCTTCAAAACGTTCTGTCCTTTGTAGCGTTTTATCAGGTTTGTATTTTTATTATTTCTTCCAAACTCTGTTCTGCCATCCATTTACACAAGTTCGTTAGATAGACAGACAGAGAGAGATGGGGAGAGATAAGAAGCGAGGCGGTCCAATCCAGACAAGAATGCATAATCGCAAATTGTTTATTTTTCATTTGTCCCTATTTTTTCATCGTAACTCTGACTAAAAATTATCTGAGTGTTCAATTTTTATATTTGTATATATTGCTCTTTAGCAATTTTATCCATAAATATTACATAACTCATATTTTATCTTCTATAAACATATATATCACAAACACATATTTTTAATCGTACCTGTGACAAAAAATTATGTCAGTGTCTCTTTCTAAATTTGCATATATTGCTCTTGAGCAATTTTACCCATAAATATTGCATAACACACACACACATATATATATATATATATATATATATATATATATATACCTGCAAATATAGAAATAGACACTGACATAATTTTTTGTCACAGGTACGATTAAAAATATTTGTTTGTGATATATACGTATATAGATGATAAAATATGAGTTATTTGGGATAAATCTTTTTCTTCCATATAAACAGGCCAGACTGGATTCTCTACCTTGCCGGCTGAAGAGAGTTGATCGACACAACTTCTACAGTGGGTGATGAGAATACGGAATACGTGATTATATATATATATATATATATATATATATATATATATATATATATATATGAAATGGATTAAGTACAGAAACAGAAAATATTTTAAGAAGTATCGTAATTAATCCATTTCATAATATATATATATATATATATATATATATATATATATATATATATATATATATAAAATGCCTCCTCGAAACAGGGCTATGTTTCTCTTTTTAGCTGTTCTTTGCGTATCCCTACTGATACTTTATCACAATTTCCCTTCTTTTTCCTTCATGACATTATTTTCCAGTGTTAAGATCACGCATTTAATCTCTGAAAGTCTTCTTGCAATAACCTCACTGTCATTACTATTCTCTCGTCGTCTGATTTTATCTGATAGTTTTTCGATTTTATTTTCCAAAATGTACAATTGTTGAAAGACAACAAGTCATCTGAGTGGGAATTCAAACCAGGTCTTCAATTTCGTTTTTTTTTTTCAGTTCCCTCTCGTCCGAACCATCTTCCGTAGCGCCCCCCCCCAATTTACACCTTCGCATATAGTATTGATAAAATTAGCCGTTTCCCTACAAGGAAACATTTGACATTCATTGACCGAGCAGCCAATCCTACTCGAGTTATACCTTTCATAAATCTCAGTCTATCTGGTTGGGATCAATATGTAGTATCTGTCCTTTAATGATAGTGGTAATATATAGCCGTTTCCCTATAAGGAAACACTTGATATTCATTAACCGAGCAGCCAGTGTTACTCGAGTTATACTTTTCATCACTCCCAGTCTATGTGGTTTGGATCAAAGTGTAGAATCTGTTCTCCTCACCTTTAATATTAATAGTAATATATATCTGTTTCCCTTAGACACCTCAAGGCGGTGTTATGGTTAGCAAGCTTGTCTCACTAGAACAATTACTACTGAGTAGTGAATTCGATCCTCACTGGTTGCACCCTACATTCGACCTTGTGTCACATCTAAGCTACGCTTGGAAAATCATTATATAGCCGTTTCCTTACAAGGTAACATTAGTCATTCATTGATTATGTTGTTATTTTCTCTTAATATTCTGTCTGCTATTAATTTTAGCTGTTGCTGCTAATGATCGTCTTCACGTGATATGATTTCTGTTAATTGGTACAATTCTTCGTGATACTGTAGCGCCAATCCATAATGTTCCAAAAATATGTTCTTTGCTTAAAGCCATCGGGCTTTACTCGCTGAACGCCATTTTAAAATATGGTCGTATACAGCTAACAGTCAGTTATGTGCCATACGTGATACACGCTTAGGCGATCACGTATCTTTCGATACATGACTGACGAAGGAGATTTTTTTTCCCGCTGTAGGTTGCCCTTTCTTTCTGTGGTAGACCAGATGCTATCCATGTCTATTGAGCCCGGTCTGTACAGCTATTTAGCCATAGCTGGGTGGGAAAGAAGAGGATTCATACCTTTCCCTAGGGTATCAGTACGTAAGTGAATGGAATGGATTCAACAGGAATTCGAACTCGGCTCTCCGATACCTTAATCCCGTATCTCGAAATTGAAACGGCCTATTCTGTAGCAACCTAACCTGGGGAAAAAATCTGCCTCGTCAGTCATGTAAGATACATGATCTCCTATGCGTTTATCACGCGTGGCACGTAACTGACTGACAGCTAACAGTTTAGATATATCTGAATGCATCTCGAACCTTGTATGACATTCATATGAAATCTCAATCTGACGTGAAAATTTAAAAATATGACTCTAGTTTTCATTTTGATGTTTTGATTTCGTAGCAGATTGCAGTTTTGGGTGAAACTAACCCTAGCCAGTGATGTGCAGTGATTTGATGATATTTGGTGACACTCGGGGTCATCTCCTTCATTGCAGGCCTCTAAGACACAAATAGCATGGGTGGTGGCTATAGGGCCTAATACTAAGAAATGTGAGAAAGGAAGATATTCTAAATATATAAATTAAATATATATATATATATTTCTTAATTATAATTATCTCAAATCCTCCTAATTTCTATCACGTGTCTATTCTTGCTTGAACCGGCTTCTAATGTTCTGGATGGAGCGGCTTGGTGATAGAGGTCGTGGCTCTCGGAAGCACAGTCCTATGAGTAAAAGAGAAACTCAGATGAGTTCCACCACGGAATATGTGATCTAGCAGCGCTATAACGAGTTTAATTCGCCACGTCTTCGTCACCGAGGCCCGTTGGAACAGTTGGTATGACGTTTGCCTGATAACATAACTGCTGATGAAGCTCTATCTATAAAAGGCAGGATGTGTGTGTGTGTGTGTGTGTAACGAATACTCGGCCGCAATTTTCAACGGATTTGCACCAAAATTTACATGCGCATGCTCCAAGTTAGCAGGAAGGCCAAGGCCGATTTTGCATTTCCCAACTCCCATCGATAGTGGAAATAATCGATATTTTCATGCTTCTACGGCAGTTTTTATGTAGTTTGCGGCCATTTTCTACTGGACAGAGTGAGAGCCTATAGCTGGCTGCCACGAATAGGCAGGAAGATTCCATTGGCCAGCGTGAGAGCTAACAGCTCAATGACACGAATGTTAAGTAGCATGCTAGCATGCAAAAAAATCGATAGCTGCATTCGTCACAAGTGGGAAAAAATTAAATCTGCATGGCACTTTACTCCAATTGACTCATTCGCTTGCTTAAACTCAACGTTGTTTCTCATTCCGCAGAACTGGATTGGGTGTGAAAAAGTATTTGTTAATATTCTTTTTTCATTCGGTTTTCCCAGTTACGAGTCCTTTTTTTTAAAGCTGATCGTTTTGTGTTCATTTTGTTTAGTTCTTTTTTCATAACAGATTTAATGTTTAGTATAGAGCTTAGAAAAAATTCGCATTGTGAGATAAGCAAGAAGTAAGGCATGTAGCAACATCAACATGGCAAAGGTTACTCCTTTAAAGTCAAGGAAGGGCAAAAGTATTTTAAGTCAAGTGATAGCGATTGCTGTATGAGTCGTACGATTTTTGTCTCAAGCACGGGCAACGCCGGGCCATGGTGATGAGTCCCAAATATAGGACGAAACGGCCGTTCACCGCTTTCTGCATTCTGTTGAGGTTTCTTCTACACTCGATGAATTATTTAATTATAAATATATAAAAATAAATGAAACATGAAATCAGCACTTTATTCAAATTAAATTTAAACTATGTTTTAATTTCCCCCCGATATGGATGCCCGGAGCCGTCGCACGCTCTGTCCAACTTCTGAACGTTACTAACTTAGGTACAACCTCTTCTATGTTCAGTTTCATTTTCTCTTATACTAAATTTGTTATAACTGATCCGTAAGCCGAGGTATTTGAAGTGTTTAGTACTTACTAATTCCACAACTCGAACGTAGTACATCTTGCTCACCATCTCTGGCTATGCCTATCTGTTTATCGATATCTCAGAGTGAGTCCACGCTTTTGGTAATTCTGCATTTTGATCTATGTCTCTAGTTAAACGATACGAACTAGATTTGATATAAATCACTGTTATGAGATGATGGCCAAGATCACCTTTTGCAGGGCGGCTAGACCAAGATCACGACCAAAGAGATAACAGCCCCGAAGCCAATAACAAACTTTGGAATGCGCCTGCAAACCGTAAAACAAATACAATTTTATTAAATTTCATAGCACATATATTAAGAAAATGAAGACATTCCTCTTCGTATATTTGGATGGGCCGTTTCAATTTCGAGATACGGGATTCTTATTAGAATCAATTCGTCTTCTATATCTCTACCGTATTAGGATAAACTCATTTGTCATATCTATTGTGCTATGTCCTCTTCAAGATGTAAAAGGTGATGGCTCTCCAGGATGTCCTGTTTTTGCTGCTGATTTTTTTTTAATTGACCATCACTCATTTTCCGAGTCCTACCAACAACCTACAGTTTAGAAGTACTTTAGTCGTATAGTGATTTCCTAAGCCTAGATTAGATGTGGCACAAGGCTGAAAGTATGGAGCACTTAGTGATATACTAACTAACCTGTCGTAACTGATCTAGCTAAATAAGCTGCTAGTCCCAAATATAGGACGAAACGGAAGACCAGTGCTTTCTGCATTCTGTTGAGGTTTGTTCTAGACTCAATGAATTACTAAATAAATATATAAAAATAAATGAAACATGAAATCAGCACTTTATTCAAATTAAATTTAAACTATGTTTTAATTCTAACCCCGACATGGATGCCCGGAGCCGTCACATCCTCTGCCCAACTTCTGAACGTTACTAACTTAGGTACAGCCTCTTCTATGTTCAGTTTCATTTTCTCTTATACTAAATTTGTTATAACTGATTCGTAAGCCGAGGTATTTGAAGTGTTTAGTACTTACTAATTCCGCAGCCCGAACGTCTAGCCGCCCTGCAAAAGGTGATCTTGGCCACCATCTCATAACAGGGACTTATATCAAATCTACTTCGTATCGTTTGACTAGAGACATAGCTCAAAATGTGGAATT